TATTTTTTAATTTTTAATTTCCTAAAATAAAATAATATAATCTAGGCCATTGATCAAGAAAATGGACGGATGAGATTGGTTTACACGGTTTACACAAATGGGTCAAGTTTTCATTTGAACGCTCCTATATATATATATATATATATATATATATATATATATATATAATAAATTATTATAACACAAATATGATATTGGACAAACGTAAACGTAGTTTATTAATGGAAATTTTAAAAACTAAAATACATAAATTAAAGGGTTCAATTGTTTTTTATTTTAACATTTCTTCATTAAATAAATTAATTACTAATTATTTATTATTATAATATCTATTATAAACTATAAATATTATTATTAAAAATAGTAAATAAAATATGTTATTTTAATATGGGGTCCACAAATTTAGTGTTTTTTTTAATAAGTATAATTGGAGTTGAGTTTTTTTTTAGTGTTTATAGGCTCATGTTTAGTGGCATTTATTTATCAAAAAGTGTGATTGTAACATGATGTACGGTGATGTTTATTATTCAAAACAGTAACTACAGCATAATATATTGTGAAGTTTATTTCTCGAAACCGTTGTCATAGTCTACCTTTAGCCAATGGTCTTATTTTGAATGGGTACTCATACAAGAACAAAAAATCCATCCGGACATTCTTTTGGTATAACGTTGCCGAGAACGTGCAACTTTATGTTTTCGAGGCTTCTTTGCTTGTGTTTTCACATGCATACGAAGGATAGAGAAGAAGATCGTACCTTGTATAAGCTCTAAACCTCAAGAAACTTGGAAGGGGTTTCCAGGTTTCTTCGACAAGTAAATGATTTTTCTTTCAATAAATTATTGCGAGAATTGTAATTAGGAAATTGATTTGAAAAATGTTCCTATTTATATGATCCTGCACGTCAGATCGATCCCTTTGATAAACGACACTTATCACGACCCTTCACATCACTCGTTGGATGAAGGACGCATGATGTCACTATTACATCAAAGGAATAATTGGCGATACGATTTCCTATGAACCGATTCAGTTGCCTCCTAACTGGTTCAGGCTCTAAAGAATCAATTCGATTTTACCATTAAACACGTGTTACTAAGCCTTTTGGAGCGAATTTAAAATTTAAAACATTTAAATATCAAATTTCAAGGGCAAATTGTTTGGTTAAAAAATTACAACCTCGATCGTTGAGGATATTTCCTTTGACCAAGATGAACGCGACTGATCAAGGAATCCTCGACCCGATCGACGGTTATATCTATAGTCAAGGACGTGTGAATTTCTAATTGTGAACCATTTTTCCAACATAGATTATTTGTGTCATCTTAGCACAACTTGAGTATTGTTTTTTTTTTATTAACCTGGATATCCAACCTGCTATGCGAGCCGACTAATCCCAAGGTGACCACCTGCTTTGCAGATAGCTTGGAGCCACCGCATTTGAACCTCCGTAGTCACACGAGGATTTTTATTCGTCCTTGGATTTGAACCTGGAAACTCTAAGTACTTTTGACCTTTGGAGCCAAACTCAAACCAATCAAGCACCACCTCGTGGTTAACTTGAGCATTATTTGAGTATCCATAGAGCACACATAAGATGCCTTGAATGCTTGCCCCTTGTCCGTCCTTCATTTTCAACATCATGGTTAGCATCAACAACAAACGTCATAAAATAATTATTTTGGATCAATCTTGCAAGCAAAAAGTTAATAGGCTACAATTACAGATTAACTAATAGTTTAGGGACTAAACTTGTAATTTTTGTATTGTATAAAATATTGTTCGGTCAAGACTTCGGAAACATTGCATAATAATCCCGTTGAGAGGACTCCGTTGCAAAACAATTACACAAAATGGAAAGATTCATCTTTTTACAAAAAGTTAAAGGGCCAATTGAGGCAAAAAGACAAAGGCAAGTAGTCGTCGTGTTTCTGTTGCAATTTACGAGTTAGTTAATTATTACAGTGACCCACAATGATCTGAAATCGCCACCGTATTCTACCTTAAATCTTGCCGATCGCCACCGCAATTTCCACCAACAATGTCTCAGAGCGAGAGAGACACCACGCCCCTCAACCAATCCTCGCAATCCGACATCGACGAGATTGAAAACTTGATCACCGCCAGCGTCCAATTCGGCCCCTCCACCGTCCTCCCTGCTCGCCCACCATCCCCTACTCGTGCTTCTATTCCTGTATCTACCTCTCCCTTCATCCCGTCCAACCTCCCTGCGCCTCCACCGAAATCGATTGCTGTACCTGCCGCACCTCCATTTCCTTCTAACCCTAACCGTCATGATAATGCAGGTCCGTCACGGTCGAACTTGAGCGGTTTTGGGCCACCGCCCAACACGTTGACGGAACCTGTTTGGGATACGGTGAAAAGAGATCTATTGAGGATTGTTAGTAATTTGAAAATAGTTGTTTTTCCGAATCCGTATCGTGAGGATCCCGGTAAGGCAATGAGAGATTGGGATCTGTGGGGTCCTTTCTTCTTCATTGTGTTTCTAGGACTCACGCTGTCTTGGTCTGCCTCCGTAAAGAAGGTGATTTACTTTTATCGATGATTTGTTATCCTGTGGGACCTTTTCTTGTTCTTTTTGTTACAACAGGGTTTCGTGATCATAATCATTTGCATTCTAGATCTATTAAAGCAGAATTTACGTTATAAGTATGGGTATGATCTTAATATGTTAATTCAGTTTCTATATGATTTCAACTCAACTAAGATTGATTTTTTATTACTACGATTGACTGACACCTCGAAGATGTACCGTTGCTGTAAGATTTGTCTTTGCCAAAGAGATGATCATTGTTATACTAGCATTTCATAATTATCAACCCACACCCACACTTTGCTGCCCTTGTTTATTGTTTGTAGTCTCATATGTGGGTTACTGATGATGCATCAATTTTAATTTTGTAATTTTACCTGACCTGCATAGGTGATAAGTTAGGGTTGAATTCAAAGGACAATGGATTGTTTAAGTAAAATTTAGTTTGAATCGAGTATCACTTGTGTTCTATGAAGATTAAATGACAATCTAACATTTACTAATTTGTATAATTATGCAAAATCAACTTGAAAATTTGGAGAAAAGAAAGGGGGACGGGGATAAATCTGATGTAAAATAGCAGTAGATAACAACATTTCTTATTCAACATTAAAAGAATGATTTACAGCTATTATTTTGGCACGAGGTGTGTGGCCTACACAAGAAGTCTAGACTCTAGACTCTAGACACTTGGACTACTGTGGTTGGCCGTCTTTGTTAAGACCTACTACAACTCATCTTCCAAGACCAGCTATACCATCACAAAGCACCAACGTATTCTAGGTTTACAAATGTGTAACCCAACTAAATCCTAAACTAAACTGTTGAAATTAGAAAATCTTACACTTTCATCATCCTCAATTCCCTTCAAGTCGTTAGCCTTCCATCACCTTTACCATCTGTGTACTTGAATCTGAGTATCTAGAGTTAGTTGAACACATAAAGTAGTCTTGCCGTTGTTCCCAAAATATTTTCTCTCTCTCCAATATTTGCCACGAAGCAGAACCCCCTTCGTTCGCCTTTTTCATGGTACCTTTTACTTCTGAATTTTGGCCTTAAAAATGGGCCAAGTTTTTTCCCTGGATCATAACCTTGAAAATCAGCCATTGCCAAAGTCTATATAGATCATACATTACAATTATGCAGATTGGGTGAGCGCACTCCCATACGTTGACTTGGCACATCCCGTGTACCGAGTCTCTGTCAAATGCTGGGCAATTGTGGCCTCGGTATTGGGCTAGCTGTGTGGAGGCTGTAGAGACTGTTTCTAAAAAAATCATACCTCTATGCACTGGGTCCCTGTTTAAGACTCTATTTTGTTTCTGCTAAACTGTTTCCTTTTGCCTCATGTCCAAGTTAAGTGCTGTTACCACCTGTTAGACACTAAAAACACTCGATGCACATAAAGCAACAAAGCTCATAAATTATAGTTAACGTGTGCATGAACCAAGACAAAGAGCCTTACCTGGCCTTCATAATAGCTGTCTAAACTTTAAGTCTTCTCTTTTGGTTCATTACCACAGTCTTTTAACTTTAGTCAGGTCATTAGACTTTTGCATCAGAAATCCAGAATGGGTTACATTATACTACTTTAGGTTGTTAAGGGCGTATGTGGTCATAACTTGCTGACTTATTCAGAACAAAATTGAAATTATTTTTAATCTTAATATTGGATGATAGAAGTAGTTTTTTGTGTTTTTTTCCTTGGATAAAGCTATGCTCTACCTAATTTGTATTTGAAGCTTCTCACTATGATTAGGTTCGGTTTTCACCTTCATCTAGTTATAACAGATAATGCATGAGCCAGATAGTACACTCTATGATGTGTTCTTGTATGTTGTTGGTCGGTTTATCCTTAAACAAGATATACAAACTTATGTGCAACATAGATTATAATTTCACTGATTTACAAGCTCACAAGTTTCTCTTACTATAGTTCTAATTTAACAAACAAACACACATATATTTTAATAAGCGAGTAAATTTTGATTTCCGTCCCTATGGTTTGCAATTTTTTGCTATTTTCATCCCTATGGTTTGCAATTTATTGCTATTTTCGTCCTTGGACTAACTCCTACCTTTCAAGTACAAGGGACCAAAACAGTAAAGAATTGTAAACCACAAGGACCAAAACAACAATATATTGTAAACGATAAGAACAAAAATAGCAATAAATTGCAAACCACAGGGACAAAAATCGCAATTTTTAACAAACCACGGAACGAAATTGTTTCTTATTAAGCTGGTATACTTTGCTGTTGTCCTTGAATCACTCGATCTTCTTAGGGCTGTTTGTATTCTTTTACCATTCCTTACATTCCTACTAGCTATCAATAGAAGAAACCCATCATTGATATCATCTCCAAACCTGTGTGAACCCTGACATTCTTTTCACATAGTCCTTTCTTCTACAACAACAGGAACAGCACTGCTGTAAATTTTCTTGCTTGGTATAAAACAGTTTATCTTTAAAATCAGTAGCTCTTGAATATAATTTCACCTGATTGCATGAGCACCAATGACTTGACAAACGACGAATGACATCAACAAAATCTTAGTCCGAATAACTGGGATAGGCTAAACAATCCTATGGTGAAGTGTGTGTAATTGTGTGTTATAACTTATATCTCTACTGCTGGTAGAAATCGAAGGCTGGTAGTGACCTTAAACATTTTCAAAGTTGTCACTTTTAACGAACTTTATTCCCTTTTCGGTTTATTGGATCTCCTAAAATTCACTTCAGAAGATGATGAGAAAGGTCTTTTTCCATAGAGAAGGGATGCTTTCAGAAAATTCTCTATTATAAAGCGTAATCAAGTGAAATTGGTTGTAATCCTAGGTCCTCTAGTTATACTCCCACTGTCCCAAAATAAATGTCCATAATGAAAGGGCACACAATTTTAGGATTGTGTAATTATTACACTGTTTAATTATCTAAATGACAATTTTACCCTTGATATAAGAGGGAGCAATGAATTTCTCCATCTCATAAATAAGGGTTTCGAAAGTGGACACTTATTTTGGGACAAACTAAATAGAAAAATATGGACACTTGTTTTGGCAAGGAGGAAGTATCAAACTTGCATAGAATTAGTAACTGCTCTTGCAACCAACTTGTGTTACCACCTATATGTACATGTTCGTCATGCATATTTATTGGCATGCTGGTGCAAATCCTTGCACAATTTGGTTGATCTGCTAAACTTGTCATTATGTTTGATTACTGAACTTCAAACCCATCAATGTTCTTTACTGATTTTTGATCCATTCTGCAACTTGAAGGTCTTTTTGCCTAACATTTGCCTAATGTTTTCCTATGAACACTTGTTTATATATGTTGTCATCCAGTCTGAAGTTTTTGCCGTTGCCTTCGCACTACTTGCAGCAGGTGCTATTATTCTGACACTCAATGTATTACTGCTGGTAAAACTTCCTCTCACTCTCTTGTATAGCATATGCATATTCATTCCCCTTCAACTAATACACTAGTCATTTGGTTCCCATTACATGTGTGTACATCCTAGGATGAGTTCGGTACGTTGACAAGACTGTTAGACCGAACACTATTGGACATGAGAGAGTGAGGCCGGCAGGTGAAAGCATTGGGAAAGGTTTAAGGGTTTTAATTTGACATGGGTAGTTTAGTAATTTAGCAATCTTGTCCCATCTCGCAGAGCACTCGGTTCTTTTTGTTCTAGAAGCTATGAGACAGGTTATGAATGAATATTAGTAAGTTGATTTGTATGCATGTATGTAGGGTGGGCATATAATATTCTTCCAAAGTCTGAGTCTATTGGGTTACTGTTTGTTTCCTCTGGATATGGGAGCATTGATCTGCATGATGAAAGACAATGTGATAATGAAGATGATGGTGGTATGCTTGACACTTGGTTGGAGTTGTTGGGCTGCATATCCATTCATGAGTACTGCTGTCAACCCTAGAAGAAAAGCTCTTGCCCTCTACCCTGTTCTACTCATGTATGTATCTGTTGCTTTCCTTATCATTGCCATTGATTAAATCCATTGCCTATTGCCTATCTAACCATATACATATCATTCATTCTTATACGGAATCAATTCACTTCTTTTTCTTTCTTTCGTGTATTTTGATATACGTGTAAGAGTCATCTACCAAACACTTACCAACTAAATATTTACCTTATCAGGTGAGTATAGCAAGAACCTAGAATCTTACCCGGTAAGTGAAATGATGTTAATGCTTATCGGGTAACAGATACTTACCAACAATCAATTTTGATTGCTGCTTAATAAGGTGAGAGTGATAACTCTTGTTGGTCCAACAAAAGTTTATAAAATAATAGAAAGAAAAAAAAAAGGATAAATGGATAGATATTTGTTTAGTTGAAAGATGATATTGCGAAAAGAAAAGGTTAAAAAAAGTGTCATTTAAATGTGGATGGTCTCATTGGAGATGCCTCATATTTAACAACTAAATGACTCATTTTGGAGTCATATTTGACATTTAAAATGACGTTTTCATTCAATCACATTACCTTCTTTTATACCTTTACTTCATACATGCTTTGCCTTTTTCTATTTGAAAATGTAAATTGAATCAACAGAAATCGATTTCGGTTTCAAAAGTCGATGATAATCAATGGAGGATTTTACCAACATAAAACACGTTATCTATTTTCAACTTTTTTCATAAATGTCAAAGTGAAAGTTCAACGAATTATCAAGTAGTGGCATATGAATAATGCTTTTTGTTTATTATAAAAAGATGATTGGGTTGTTGTCATCCAATGTCTTGAAAATTTTATGTCAAAATATTACCATAACGTTAATCCTTCTTAAAATAAAAAAACCGTATATTCATGTGTATGAATTAATGAGAATGAATATATTTGTTTGGTTTTTGGTGTTTTCTAGATTTCACATGAATATATTATGATGTGGGACTCCAGTCTCCAAATATGGATTCAAACTCTTAACCCATAATTATTACTAAACCCCAAACATTATGTCACTCGATATCACTACTTCATGAATTCTACTCTCTTTTTCATTTATAATATTTGATTTATGTAATTCATACATGATTTCAAATTTTATATATATACTAGAAGAGTACGGCAATGCAGCGAAACACATCTCGATTTTAATATTCTATATTATTATTTGTCTCTGTCGATGTTATAATACGATTTTATGTGTTTTTAAGAAAGCAATGATGATTTTATTTTTTAATAAAATATAAATTTGAAGATATTATAAAAATTTATAATATATAGATATATATCAATGTTAATATCAAATCAACTATTTAAAAGTTCTTATTTTTTATATAATTTCTTTAATTCATTTTTTTAGTATAACTTAATTTAAGTTTAATAACGAAATAATTTATTTTTAGTTTAATAATATAACATTTTATAAAGATAATAATTAATTATTCTGTTAAAACTCAATGATTATCCTAATTATATTTTAGATTTTTTATATTTAAAATAATATGTTTATCATGTATTTGATTATGTTTATCTGCAGTTAGTTACACGAATTTAGATATGGAACTTTAATAAGTTATACTTACGTACAATCTACTTGTAATCTTGAGTTTTAAGTAATATGCATTAATAAACAGTACTTTACGCATAAAAAGTGGTTTTTAAAAGTTTTTGTCAAATGTTTTATAATAGTATTTTTGTTATTCTCTTACCCCTCAAACCATTTTTATTTATTGTGAATAAGGGGTTATTTGGTTTACTCTTAATAGTTTCATTAAGAGGCAATCTCTGAATCGTTAAGAGATAAATCTTATTTGGCTAAAAAATGTCTGTTTTTTAATGATTCTAAAACCCTCCGAATGATTTTGTTTTTTGGGCCTTCCTGAACCATTCAGCACCATAATTTTATTCTGAATAATTATCAAACAATTATATTCTATTTTGCATTATATTATAAAAGTCTCTTAATCATTCTATATCAAATCATTCAGTAACCGACAAACAGTACCTACAAATGTAAATAAATGGGTAGATTTCGGTATTTTTTTTTTCTAAATCATCATCTACAATCTTATTGTAGACTTGTTTTAAAAGAAAAACAAACATTTAATAATTAATATTAAAATACATTTATTATTTTGTGAAGCTACAAAGAAATGGAAAAATAAAGATACAGAAAGAATGTCACTGTAAATCACTAACCAACGTACATGGGTCCCTCCCTTTCCTTTTCTACTCCAATTGCCCTTTTTCTTTTCTTTTTTTCTTTTTTTTTGAAATATATATAATATTTATATATGGCAAATACAACAAATAAACTTACACACCCTCCTCATTTATGATGAGGTTTGAACCCCTAACTTTCTAGAAGGCCAAAGACTACTATACTGTTAGACCAAAAACCCTTTGGTAATTGCCCCTTTTCTTCCTTCCTATTTTTACATTAATTTTGGTTAAGTTATTAATATTTTTTTATTATTTGTTCGTTCGTACTATTAAAATGGTAAATCCAGAATAAAAAATTTAACAACTTAAACTTATACTTTTTTATTATTTGTTCATACTGAATGTAACAAGTTATAAGTATAGTAACCAAAAAAGTTGATATTATATATAATTTTTTAAGTAAATCTGTAAAATTAGAAACTAAACGTTACTTTTTATAAGTAGTAGTGTGAAAGTCGGGTTTCATTTAGCACTGTCTGTTATTTAATAATTTCTCATGGTCGGCCATAAATTCGTGTATAGATATATATATATATATATATATATATATAGATGAGCGTTCAAATGAAAACCGCCTCTATTTGTGTAAACCGATCTCATCCATCTATTTTCTTGATTAATGGTCAAGATTAGTTTACTTTATTTTAGGAAATTAAAAAATATATATATTAAAATTTTATTTTTATATCAGCAATAAGGGCAAAATGGTAAACAAAAATACATATTCTGTAACATCCTATTGAAGGACATTATTCTTTATTTTAAGAAATTAATATTTTCTATTTATTAGAAAATAATTTCGCTAATGCAACAACCTTTTTATTCTTTATTCTGAAATTGTTTCAATGTCCTTCACACACCCATGTAAATATGCACCCTATTCATTATGAAATTGTTTCAAGACGTACCGGTTTCATCATAAATCCATTTCAGCATGTAATTATTTCATGACAAACCGCATACATTATGCACCCGTTTCATTTTGCATTTCACCTACTAAATAGATCAACTACAGCATCATTGAAACGAGGTTCACCATCAAACCAGTTCACTACTCATTGTTCAATTACGCCATGAACTAGTTTCACCTTCATGAAACTTGTTTCATGTACATAGATTAGTTTATTTCGCTCCTGATTTGATGATTACAATCTTCAAGATAATGGAGCAGATTCATCATGTACCCGTTTTATCATGCAATTATTTCATAACGAACCAAATACATTATGCACATGTTTCACTACTCTTGGTTCAATTACGCCATTAATCAGTTTCACCTTCATGAAACCTATTTTATGTACATTAATTTTCTTATTTCACCCGTGATTTGATAAATTCATTCCTTTAAGCCTTACAATCTTCAAGATTCTGGAGCAGATTACAATCTTCAAGATTCTATAACAGATTCATCATGTACCCGTTTCATCATGCAATTATTTCATGACGAACCAAATACATTATGTATATGTTTCATTTTCCCCTTCACCTATTAAATGGATCAACTACACTATCAATTAAACGGGTTCACCATGAAAATGTTTCACTACTCATTGTTCAATTATGACATGAACCAATTTCACTTTCATGAAACCTGTTTCATTTTATTAATTTCTTTTTTTAATCATGATTTGATGAATTCATTACATTATGTTTTACAATCTTCAAAATTCACCAGCAAATTCAATCGCATCACAATATATTTAGATCAAAATTTTAAAATTATAATATAATTAAATATTTAAATGTTACCATTTATAAAATTTCCTTTATTACGTTTCCTTAATTAAGATTTATTAATAATTTCCATATTTAATTGAAAATATTGTAAATGACCGAAATATCCTTATTGATTAAATTTAATTAGAAAAAAATGGAATTTTCCTATTGGTCGAAATTAGTTTACACAGTTTCTTAGAAATGCACAGTTTATATACATATATATATATATATATATAGTTTGTTTCAAATGCAACCCATTGCATTTGTACAACCAATGCAACCCAATAAATTGAAATATTTATAGAAATGATGAGAGTTCATTTATTACGGTTTAAATATTTATGGAAGATGTATACGATTCATTAATTATGATCAATACTTTATATTAGGAAACATTCAAAACTTCTATGAAATTACATATTCATCAAATTAAATGGACGGTTGAGATTGGGTTGTATTGGTTGTACAAATGGTAGAGGTTGTATAATAACACACATCTATATATATATATATCTATATATATAAATATATATATATATATAAGGGCTCATTCAAGGAATAACTAACTAGTTTGTGGTAATCGTGAGATCCAATTTCAACTATAAATCAATTATAAATTAGGAAATTTATAATTTTGATAATTTTGAATTAAAATTTTAATTCAATGACATTTTAGGGGGTGTTTGGAATTGCTTATTTTAGGTGATTTTTAACTTATTTCAGTCTGACATCGGTGATAAGTTAAATGCTAGTGTTTGGATGAGAAAATTATAGTTTTTTTTTACAAAATAAATTAATGTTTTACCTAGCTTTTCATTTCTGTAGTAATCATTGTTTTGACTTTGATGACAGCTTATAATTATCTTTCCTTGAAAGGTTATTGTAGTAATTAATTAACTGTAAAAACATTTTTTCAAATAAAAATACATATCAAGTTAAATGTTGTAGGATGAATAGTTATATGTTAAATAAACTTTTTTACATGTTAAAATAAAACATTGAATATTACATTTTCATAGTATTGATTTGATCGTAAAAGACAGTTTTTTTAGTAAATACTTAGAGGTCGTTTACCAAACATTTATCCGGTAAATGTTTATCGGTAAAATTTAACATTATTATTTATTTATCGGGGATGATTTTAGTCTACCAAAACGACATCGTATGCAACAATTTACCCGGTAAACGTTTACCATGGTAAGAGTCGTCGCCTTCACTTACCGGGTAACACTCTTAGTCCTTGTCTTGTTCTTACCGGATAAGATTCTTGGTTCTTACCATATTTATTTGATAAAATAATGTTATTTGATAAACACTTATCTACATAAACGTTTGTTAAACGGACTCTTAGTCTTTTCACGTTAACATACGTAAAACTAAAACTATTAATTCTACAAACAAATGAAAAGGTATAATATTTTAATAATTTATGTTCTGCAATCTGCTAAAAACAAATAATGGAGATCCAAGTGATATCTATAAAAGAATAAACATATTGTTATAAAATTATTTATATTATATTATAAAGCATTTGATATAAAAAACTATTTTTTATATTAAATATTATTTATTAATGTATATTGTTTAATTCAAAATTATAAATAAATTATGTGTATGTATAACTTATTAAAGTTTTATTTTTGAATTCATATAATTAACTATAAATATATATAATCAAATATTGAATATGTATCTCATTTTAAATATAAAAAAATTAAAATATATTTAAAATAATCATTAAAATCTAATAAAATACTAAATCAATATCTTTATAAAAAATTATATTATTAAACTAAAAACAAAAGACTTCATTATAAATCTAAATTAAATTATAAAAAAATTACACAAAAAAAAAACTTTTAAATATTTAATTAGATACTAAAATTGATACATTTTTTTTTCAAATTTATATTCTATATAAAAAATAAAAATATTATCGTTTTTCAGTACCACATAAAATCATATTATAATATGATGAAGACAAAATAAAATAAAACATTAAAATCGTATCTTGTTGCATTGCATGAGGAACCTTCCGGTCATCAAAAAAATGTGAGTGTAACAACATTTTTACTTATATTTAACTTTTTTCCGTAACCATTATATCTTATGCATATTTTAAGCAAATTTAGGGGGTGTTTGGGATTGCTTATTTAAAACGACTTATACATTTCTACAAAAACACTTATCAATTTATTATAAATTAGAATGATTTAACTTCTTCAAAAACTTCTTATTACCGGTTTGACACCGATATAAATTGTTTATCTAAACATTAAAAAATGTTTATTACCGATATCACACTGGAATAAATCAATAAATTGTTTTTTTAAACAAACTCAAACGCCCCTAGCTAACTTTTAATTTGCCAAAGCAACACTCAAATGTTTGAATTCTAGATGAAAAATTGATTATCCACAATTTTAATTTTAATGTCTTAAAAAAATTATTATAATTAATCAGAAAAAATGATGATAGATTTTGCATGTGTATGAATTTTTTACGATAGAGAAATATAATTTAAAGAAAATATATGATTTCTGAATGAATCTATAAATTCAGGTAACCCAACACCTGTTTTTCACCATCTCTGCTGCTCTCTTTCACTCCGCCGACGCCGGTGATGAAGGAAATTTGGACTACCATGGCGTCTCTAATGGGTGTTTGGGCTTTCTCTCAAACGCTACTCCACGCCGTATTTCCGCCGGAGCTCCGCTTCATCTTCATTAAACTCTTCCAACGTTTATTCAACTGCTGTTCTTCTTACTGCTATTACGACATCACCGAGATCGAAGGGGTCAACACCAATGAGCTCTACAACGCCGTCCAGCTCTATCTCTCCTCCGCCGCCTCTTCCTCTTGCTCACCCGCCTCTTCCAGCCGCCTCTCACTCACCCGCGGCCTCAACTCCTCCGCAATCACCTTCGGTCTCTCTCACAACGACCGTCTCACCGACGTTTTCAATGGCGTCTCTGTCGTCTGGGAACATATCGTCACCCCACGACAATCCCAGACGTTCTCGTGGCGCCCTTTGCCGGAGGAGAAGCGTGGGTTCACGCTCCGGATCAACAAACGGGATAAACCCTACATACTCGAATCTTACCTCGATTACATCAACGGAAAAGCCAATGAAATTCGAAGAAAAAACGAAGACAGATTGCTGTACACCAATTCCCGTGGAGGATCGCTCGATTCTCGAGGGCAGCCGTGGGAATCGGTGCCGTTCAAGCACCCTAGCACATTTGAGACGCTGGCAATGGATCCGGTGAAGAAAGCAGAAATCATGTCTGATCTCCGAGACTTCGCCGACGGTCAGGCGTTTTACACACGCACGGGACGCGCGTGGAAACGTGGCTACCTCTTGTATGGTCCTCCCGGCACCGGAAAATCCAGCATGATCGCTGCAATGGCGAATTTTCTTGGGTACGACATTTACGACCTCGAACTTACTGAAGTTCAGACGAATTTGGAGCTCCGGAAGTTGCTCATGAAAACGAGTTCGAAATCAATCATCGTAATCGAAGACATTGACTGTTCCATAAATCTGACAAATCGTAAAAAGACCAACGGCGAAGGAGGTTCAGAAATGAGAAATGGGCCCGGCGGACTGGGTGGTCCCGGCGATCCGGAGAACAGTAACTCTATTACGCTTTCGGGTTTGTTAAACTTCACAGATGGGTTATGGTCGTGTTGCGGGTCGGAGCGGATATTCGTATTCACAACGAACCACATCGAAAAACTTGACCCGGCATTGTTACGGAGCGGGCGAATGGATATGCACGTGTTCATGAGCTACTGCTCTTTCCCATCGCTAAAGATTTTATTAAAAAACTACCTGGGGTGTTCCCCGGCCGACGTGGAGACGGAGGTTTTACGGAGGTTAGAAGAGGTTACCGAGGCGGCGGAGATGACTCCGGCGGACATCAGTGAAGTCTTAATAAAAAACCGGCGAAACAACAGGAAGGCGTTGAAGGAGTTGCTGCAGGCTTTGAAAGCGAAGGCGGAGAAAAACAAAAATGGGTTGCGGCGGATTGAGGCGACAGAGGAGGAGAAGAGAGCGGTGGAAGGTGGTGGCGGTGCGGCGGAGGAACGGTGGATGGGGAGTGGTTAATTTAATGTTTTAAAAAGGAAAATTAATGAGTGGGTATAGAGGTTGAGAAGTGGAAAACTGTAAGGCAAAACAACATATCGTATGACATCATCATCATCCCTTTATTTTATTTTCATAAAAGTTTACCACAAATTATAACTCTTAATTATTCTTTAATTATAGATGATTAAGAAATAATTAATTAGAGGTGATGGGGCAAGTGGATAAGATCGGAGGGGTAATTTAGTAATAATACTATTTTCTTTCTTTGATTTCATTTCATGTCCCTGAGTTGTAATGGTTGACTACTCCTGTCGTCTCTTTGTTTTTTTATGATTACAATTTACTCATTTTCTTATATGTTTTTCACTAAATTTCAATATTGATCCTTCAAGTTTAATCACATGTTTTTAAAATACGATTTCAAACTATAACAAGTCGAGTTGCTATCTTACTTAGATGCCTTCTCCCTTACCGTTTCTCCGATGGAATAAGAGTGATGGTTTCAATGCCTTCATTTGTCTTCACCGAGCTTCTCTGTAAAAAACAACAGATCTCGTCTCTTTTCAATCTCTTCCCTCCTTCCCCTCATACACAAGTTCAGGCATTCATTGTCTTCACTAGGCCTCTCTGTCCCCCATCTGTTTGTAAATCGAGATATGTGAGAGTGTGAAGAAGATGATGACCGGGGGTTATTTTTGGTGGAGTTTTTTGTTTTTGTTTCACTCCCATATTTGGATTTGTTTCCTATGATTTGTTCATATGACTTGTTCATTAATAGATTGGGCCCATTGGGCTCTGTGACTTTTTTGTCCTTTTAATTTGTTTATACTTGGTTTTTGAGGGCCAAAAAGTCACAGAGTTTGCAAAGATAAGGACGTATTAGCAAGCTCCAATATCGTTTACCTCCGGTGATGAAGAATTGGATTGTCTCTAGCGATGAAGATGTGTTGGGGTGTCGATCTATGAGATTGTGATCCATATTGTATATATATATATATATATATACCATAACAATTTATATAATTAAAATATATAGTATATAATATAAATAAATTATATAATTAATATATATATATATATATATATATTATAAAATTATATTATTAATACATTATAATATTTACTCTAAAATATAATATTGGATAATTATTTATTTTATAGTGAATTATAATCACATGTGAATCATTTGGTTCAAAAGAGAGGGAAAAACAGTCATGATTTTACTCGTGGTTCTAACAGAAAAGTTAGATGGAGTTAGCAGCCAGTCCCTCTTTCAAAGCTAAATCCATCTTTTAGGGTATGTTTGGTGCGCTGGACAAGGTGGGACAGGCTAAGACAGAACACATTTGTCCTACGTTTGGTGTGGTTTAATATGGAACTAAGTAGGACAAGGGTGGGACACGGTTGTTCACCCTTACCCCCTTGGAACTAAGTAGAACACAAACTTTTTTACCACACTACCCCTTCCCCATAGCCTCCATCGCTTCCTTTCTTCCCCACATCCTTTCCCGTAGCCTCCATCGCTTCCTCCATAGCTTTTTCACATCAATCGGTGGCGATGATTTCTACACAATCGGCGACGACAATTTCTACACAATCGCTTCCTCCATCGCTTCTTCACATCGACGTGTGTTGAGTTGAAGATGGCAATGGATAGAGCTCAGCTTTATAACTGAGTGAATGATGAAGTTAATTTGGCCCCAAGACAGTTTTATACCACCAGCCACCGATTCCTTAGTTTGTGTAAACCGAATTGTTTGCTAATTGATGTAAATCAGTTTTTTTAGTTGTCATGAAATATGAATTTTGCTCTACTTTGTTTATAGTGACTACGTCGATATGCTCATACTTTTGGTTAATTGAATAGTATTTGTAAACATTTATATCTATTATTTAGTTAAAAAAAACACTAAACAGCTCACTGTGGGTAAATTGGTCATTTTAACCAGTTATGTCATGTCCTGTCCTGTCATGTCTTACCAAACGCTGAACAACTGTCATGTCCTGTCCTGTCTTGTCCTGTCATGCCCTGTCTGCACACCAAACGCACCCTAAAGGATGAAAACTCAACTTATTAAATTTTAGGTCTCACTTTAAAACATTTCGGTAACTCTCAAGGACTAAAGTTGTAGTTTACTTTATATTTTAATAAATAAAAAAATTAGCACTTACACATTTATTTAATAATTAAATTGCGTCTAAAATAAAGATTGTCATTTTTTAAAAAATACGGGCTTCGAAGAAAAACAAAAATAAAGCTTCGTTCCTCAGCAAAGCGTTCATTTCTTTTTCGACCTTTTAAAATTACACCGAAGTTTAAAATGATTTTTATAGATATCTTTTAAACTATACAACTTTTAGTAGATATGTTTCAAAAAAAAATAATGTTAAACATGTATTTTGAGATTCTATATTCAGAAAATGACAATTAAATTGAAGTATTTGTTTTTTAAAAGTATTTACATTTATAATTAAATACACGAGGGACTTTTTTTGTCATTTTGTCCTTTTTCTCTCTTTTAAAAAAGATTTAGATTATCTTAAAACAATGTTGACGTATCGATCATTTTTAATTTACTAGAAAGGTATTCGTGCAATTGAACGAGATACATCTTGATTTTAGTATTTTATTTTATTTTTTTATCTCAGCCGATGTTATAACATGGTCTTATGTGATTTTGAAAAAGCGATAATGTTTTTATTTTATAATAAAAATATAAATTTGAAGATATTATAAAAATTTGACAAAATATATCGATGTTAATATCAAATTAACTATTTGAAATTTCCAATTTTTGTATAATTTTTAATTCAATTTTTTTTACTATAATTTAATTTATGTTCAATAACGAAGTAATTTATATTTGGCTTAATAATATAATTTTCTTATAAATATAATAATTAATTATTTTGTTAAAAGTTGATAATTATTATAATTATATTTTAGATTTTTTATATTATAAAATGAGATTTTTACTCTCTATTTGATTATTTTTATCCACAATTAGTTACACGAATTCAAACATGGAGCTTTAATAAATTGTACTCGTGCATAATTTACTTGTAATATTGAATTTTAAGTAATATGTATCAATATACAATACTTCATGCATAAAAAATGGTTTTTAAGAATTTTTGTCGAATGTTTTATAATATAGTATAGATAATAGACTTGTTACTTAAAAGCTCAGTCATAACCATATTTAGTTTGATAAATTCAGTAACTTGATCGATAAAATGTTTTAACAACGAAAGCTTCAGTAACTTTATTGATGAAATACTGTATCAACGAAACTTATACCTGGATGATGGATGTGTATCTGTTTAATTACGCCGTTTGATGTGTATGTTCATATCGTATCAGATTAGGTAACTTTATGGAAGCTGACATAATCATGAAACATTTATTTGCTTTTAACTACTCGAATTAATGACGAGTAATGATTTGGTTGTACCAACAATGACCCTACTCAAGTCATAGAGAAAATGATTGTTCGGTTGATTAATTCGTATATCGGACAACACAAAAGACCGAGCTTTCCGCCTCAAAAAGCATTAACATATGATCATTAAGTGTCAAATACGTTTGTTTCTTAAGATCTAAATAATAATAATAAAATAAAATTATTCTGATCATCGGCTTAAATTATTATTATATAGAAATCAGAGGGCCATTTATGGGAGAAATGAGTATTTCTTGAAAATGATTCTGAAGAGCGGCCACCGGTGGGACCGCCGCGCTACCAGGAAGTTTGGGTAACACCCCATTTTCCTRATAAATATCCGCCTTCTCGTACAAGAGATAATTCAGCCCAACGCAAGCCCGTTTTCATCTCCAATTCTGATGGTCAGCAAGAAAGATGGGTCTTGGTGATTTTGTACAGATTATCGAGCCTAAAATGCTATAACCATCAAGGATAGCTTCCAAATTCCAACTATCGAGTTGTTGGATGAATTGTTCAAAATTGGGTTTATGCCCAGGTAATCACCAAATCTTGGTAACACCATCAAGGATTATACGAACGACTGGTTATGCCTTTCGGGCTTACCAACGCACTACCTGGTGAGGTAACAACTACCTGCTATGGCCAAAGTTCACCTGGTCTTTCATTTCTCGTATCTCAAACAATGTCATGGCTTGCACCAAGATGAAGATGCATACCTACCATTACTCTAAACAAGGACCTCTACTGCAGCCCAAACCAATTCGGAAGCATCGTTTCTTATTGTGTAATGGACAATAAGTTCCTCAGGTTGTAGTTGAGTGGGATGGTTTACCCTTGGAATTAAAATACTTCGTAGGAGGACTGGACACTCTTAAATCAGGCCACAAAAATATTTCAAATGCAACCGTGTCTATTTGTATAACCAATGCAACCCAATCAATTTAGATATTTATAGAAATAATGAGAATTCATTTATTATGATTTGAATATTTATGGAAGATGACAGAGTTCATTAATTATGATCGATACTTTACATTAGAAAACAATCAAAACTTTTATGAAATCACATACTCATCAAATTAAATGGACGATTGAGATTGAATTGTATTGGTTGTACAAATGTAAAAGATTGTATAATAACTCACCTATACTTCATTATGCAAGCAACAACTTGGATACAAATTTAGAGTTAAAAAAATTAATGAGACCAAAAGCTACATATATTACCCAAAGATGGGCTTTCATGAACTTGGGCCGGCTGCCAGTTGACGCACGAAATCATGCTTTTGAGTTTTAAGTACCATTTAATTGCAAAGGCCATGTAGGGATTTAAAATTATATGGTATTTTCATATTAAAAAAAATATTAAAGGTTTATGTTCGAATAAAATATAAATTACAATCGGTTTGATAAATATGTCATATTACATTAAAGAATCGACAAACGAGAACACCTTCATTTTACGAGAACGTAAGAACACCCTTATCACATGTGATAATACACGTGAGGGAACCCTGTGATGTGCGACGACGTGTTCTACGACTTAGCCCACGTCAAAGGTTGTCTGTGATGGTCTTGATGCATTATAGTATCATATCAACAACACCATTATCACATGTGATAATACATGTGAGGGAGCTTAGTGGTGTAAGGGCGACTTACCCAGCA